GGTGTGTGTGAAGGAGGAAGAGGAAGCGAGGTCAGAGGTCAATGGAGAGGTGACCAGACAGCCAGGTGAGTCAATGAAGACCAGGACATGTTGCCCAGTGAGAGCAGGAGTGTTGACTTGTGCTGTGATTTGATGGACTTTGATTTGTGTTGTTTAATGAGCAGGGTTGAGCAGTGGTTAGCATTGCTGCCTCGCAGTACTGGGGCTCTGGGTTTAGATCCTGAGGTGCTGTCTGTGTGGAGTCTGTTTGTTCTGCCCATGTTCACGTGGGTTTCCTCCCACAGTACAAAGACAGACTTGTAGGTTTGTTGGGTTTGGGGAAAATTGGCCCTGGTGTGAGTGTGTGGGCCTTGCTATGGACTGGTATCCCATCCAAGGTGTACCCTGCCTTCCTGCCTTGCGCGACCTCCAGCTCCTCCCAGCTGGAGAAAGTGGTTAGATAATAGATGGAGAGCTGGGCTGTCCTGGGGCTGGATGGTGTCCGTGAGCCTCAGGACCAGCTGGCTGAGGGGCTCTTCTCTGGGCTCAGCTCTGGGCTCAGCAGGGCCTGGTGGTGGTAGATTTCTGGTCACTGTCTCTCGGGGGTAACCAGTATTCAAGGGCTGTTTTCTGCCTGCTGATTAGTACTGGGTATTGGCCTGATTCAGCCCCGCATGTTTTGACTGGCCTCCCCTGCTGGCTCCCTGATGCAGGTCCTGAAGAGTGAGTTTTGTGCACTTTGTGTGCTGTGTCTCGCTCCCAGTGTCCCTGCAGTGCCGGGAGTGCGGCCTGCGGTTCCCGGGCAGCCGGGCGAAGGAGCGCCACATGCGCCGCCGCCACCCGGAGGAGTACCAGGAGCACATCCTGTCCGGCTCCCTGCGCTGCCACCTGTGCCAGCTGTCCTGCGGCTCGTCCCGGGAGCTCATCGAGCACCAGCGCGCCCAGCACACGCAGGTCAGCCCCCGCAGCCACGCCCCGGCGTCGGCCCGCCCCACCCCGCTGCCGATCGGCGATCGGTGATGAAGACGGATGTCACCCCGTGCGCCTTCTGTGCCCCTGTCCCCCCAGGGCCGGCCGTTCCAGTGCCCCGTGTGCGGCGACAGCTTCGTCCAGTCCCACGCCCTCATCAACCACAAGCGCCGCCACCTGCGCCAGTCGAGCTACGTGTGCCGGGACTGCGCCCAC